TGGTGAATATAGGGAAACAGACAGCATGAATTTCGTACATTCGTCTCTGAAGCCTCATCCTTTGTGTATTTCAATTTGTCATTTTTAAAATTTAAGTTAAGGCAGGGTTTGCTGAAACAAAAATAATGATACATTTTTGCTTAATCCTGGAAAATTAGTTTAAACATGGATTATTGGATTAAACCCATGACAAATTGGATTAAAAATTCTCAATAAAAAACATGGTTAAATAAACGATGATACTTACATAAATGGTGGATTAGGAATGCTTTGTATATAATATAATTTTATTTAGTTTCTTAATATTCTCCATTTTTTCGAATCTCTTAAATAAAAATCTTCACAAATGTTAAGACCCCAACAAGGAAACTCGGGAGTTTCGTTCAACGGCACTCTTTTAAAATTCGGGCTCTGTTAGAACAAGTTGTGTACAGTATGCATACAACTAAGACGGGACGGTAAACTAAATGAATCAACCAACAGTATCAAAGTAATCTAAAGTTTGGCAGTGGGAAGTCTGGATCTCAGTGCGTACAATATTCCTTAGTTTATGGCAAGTAGAATAAAGATCTCCCTTTAGCTCCTAAACTTCTGATTAAACCTGGATTTGATTAAATATTCTTCTCCGTACAGTCTCCGGTGTCACATTGAGTAATGTCCGGCTGTTTAGAGTTTAGGTCCAACTTCTCTGTTGTACTCGCATCAACCTCAAATTTTCTGATCCTTCTATGTATAAATTTGGCTTGATTATTTTCAAATGTGGGTTTCTATAAAAGTGACTTCGGCATTTCTACTGCAGGAAAACATATTGGAAATGACCGAATTATTGGCTTTTAAACAAAGAAAAAGGGCATCATTATAGATCAGATCACAACGGTACCCATGAAACCTTTATCTGATTAATAACGGGAAAGATATTTTCGTTCTTCTAGGTTTAAATTGTTTAATTTTTAAATGATATCCTGCAGTAGAAATGCAAAATTGAAAATAATCCTGTATTGGAACCCTGTAGTGTCTAGCTAGGTATCATTGTACACCTGGAGTAAAATATTTCGTGAGACCAGGAAACCAATAAACCAGGCTCCGGGTCAGTATCTTCTCCCGATCCTACACTTTCAAACTTATACAGACAATATTCATGCCAAGGAGAAATCCTTCTTAACCACAGATAAATCATAAATAATCACAGATATATCATAAATAATCACAGATAAATCCTAAATAATTACAGATAAATCATAAATAATCACAGATAAATCATAAATAATCACAGATATATCATAAATAATCACAGATAAATCCTAAATAATCACAGATAAATCATAAATAATCACAGATAAATCCTAAATAATCACAGATATATCATAAATAATCACAGATAAATCCTAAATAATTACAGATAAATCCTAAACAATCACAGATAAATCCTAAACAATCACAGATAAATCCTAAATAATTACAGATGAATCCTTCTTAACCACAGATAAATCATAAATAATCACAGATAAATCATAAATAATCACAGATAAATCCTAAATAATTACAGATAAATCCTAAATAATCACAGATAAATCCTAAACAATCACAGATAAATCATAAATAATTACAGCTAATCATAAATAAACACAGATAAATCTCAAATAATAACAAATAAATCCTATATAATCTTATTCGTTCATTCCTCCATCTTTCCTAGATAATAATCAAGGGATGAAATTCCTTATTTATCCAGGATAAAACCTGATTTATCCAGGATAAACCCTAATTTATCCAGGATAAACCTCATCTATCCAGGATAAAACCTAATTTATCCAGGATTAAATCTAATTTATCCAGGATTAAATCTAATTTATCCAGGATTAAATCTAATTTATCGTGGATAAATATAATTTAGCAATGACAAAAATTGATCTTACCAGGACGAACCCTTTTTGATTCGGGAAAAATTCCAATAAATCCAAAATTAAATTAAATTTCTATGAAATAAAACCTATTTGATCCAGGATAAAGTTAAAACAAGAAATTCCTTTATTTCCCAGTGAGTGGAAATCCACTAGAAATAAAACAATCTGCAGTTAATATAATCTGCCAATTATATCTAAACCAGAAGAAAGCTTAAATTGTAAAGGATGAAACCTTATTTTTCCCGATAAAACCAATCTCTCACTTTATGGTAATTAACTTAGGCACTGGAGGGAGGTGGGGGGGGGGGTCGCAGCTCCCCCTCTCTTAGAATTAAAGATATATAGTTTTTGGAAATAATTTTTTAGCTAAAATTGGGGGAGGGGGGTTATTATTATGGGTGAAAAAAACTTGCCAATTGAAAATCATTTACCGATCAGAATCTATATCCCTGCTAGGGTTTATGTTTTCATCCTTTATAGCTTAAACCCCGTAAAGAACCTACTCTTTGATTTATTCTTGATATCAAAGTTGCATCCGGGGGCGTATTCCGAAATTTGTCCAGGATGGGAGTGGGCTCAGACATTTTTTTCTGTCTACGGGGGGCTTAGCACCCGTTTTAGCCCAAAAACCCCCTGGAAATCAAAGATTTCACTTTACCAAGAGGGAATGAGCCCCAAAGCCCCCCCCCCTCCATGAATACGCCTCTGGTTGCATGGTACTTCAAATTCAAAATTAGTTTAACACAGAAGAGATAATGGGTAAGATTTACAGGGTTACCCACAAAGGATGAGACTTGAATAACGACCTGAAACTTTCTTATTCTGACTGAATAAAGAACCTATAAAAATGGTTCAAATAAGCGTAAAAACTATGAACTATTAACTTTGTAGTTATTTATTTTTATGATTTTGAATGCACACATTTTTATTTTGAAATCATACAATTAGTAAAATTAAAAATCTAGTTCTAATAATTCAATTAAATCTCTTTAAAAACTGAAAACAAAACAAAACAAAAAAACCTAGCAAAAGAGAAAAAAAATTACAACTTCTTGAAAGTAAATACCCCCCCCCCCCAGAATAAATTCTGTATACGTTCTAATTGTCTCAAAACCAGTGCTCAACTGTCTCCAGGGAACAGTTTCGTTCTTATCTTCTGAATATTTCTTTCTTCAAAACTTTGTTTTTAAATTCTCTTTCATGCATCTGGTAAAAAGAACTAACAAAACCTTTTGTAATTCTTTAGAAAGAACTAATCCTTACCATTTGTGGTCCGATGGATTAAGTCTGCAGTAAATCTGATCTCAGCCAATGAGAGTTTGCAGAAATACAAGTCAGCTGTCTTTTAAGGATTAAGGACTTAATCGCTCCAAATAAAAAGTTTCCTTACAAATAAGATCATCTCATATAAAAGTTTCGACCTCCAACTGGACTAATTGTTCAACTGGACTAAGATTTTTTACAAATTGAACATTATGTGCGGAAGAATTTTTACCATATCAGTTGTGTTCATTTGGACTAATGTTTGAAAGAATTAGGTTGTTACACTGTAAGCTACTGTTCATTTCAAGTAAATGGCCAACTTTTAAGGAGCTAGAGCAAGTCGTACAGTACATAAACAGATTATATAATGCAAACCGGGACAATACAGTACAGTACAGTACAGTACAGTACAGTACATAAACAGATTATATAATGCAAACCGGGACAATGCACCAAATGCACCAAATGAATAAGTTCCTTCTAGGGAGATATTTTAGTGGTTTGCACGAAATCCTTTGAATTATTAAAATCAAGGGTTGCTTGAACTCAGGGAGTAAGGAATAGAAGGGAGATACAACTGACGCGGTTCGCCCTACCATATGATTAAACATGCTTGCAGACGGGTACTTCATTTGAATAAGAAATATTTGTCTGATGTAATTCTTATACAAATGGAGTACCCGTCTGCAAGGCATGCATAATCATATGGTAGGGCGAACCGCGTCAGTTGTATCTCCCTTCTATTCCTTACTCCCTGCTTGAACTCCGCTCAGCGTGAATTTTGAAAGGATAGAAAATTTTCGTGACCTCGATCTTGAGATCATACAGGGTTACCCACAAGGGATGAGACGACTGTATATAATTTATATTGTCTTTTTCCTATATTTATGATTCCCTGCAACTGTAAACATTGCTTCTTTCTTTGCCTAGTCGTTGAATAAGCCAGTAAATGATTGTATTCAAGGTAGAAGATTTAATTTAACCTTGAAATCGTCATATTTAAAGAGTTTCAGGTCGTCTATACAGTCTCTCCATTATGGGTAACCCTGATAGAAAATGTATGTACAGAGTTTCTCACAAAGAATGACTTGATTGACGATATGAATCTATCCAATTGTCAAGATCCTGAAGCTAGATTAAAAGAATTCTTCGGCATTAAACAAAAAGTAAAATAAAAGCTTAAAATATAATATGACAAAAAAAGAGATAAAGGTACTGAACACTCTACTCAAATTCTAATTTTCTAAAAAAAAACTTTATCTTTGCACCCTTCAGGTGTAAACCTTTGATAATTCAACCTTTCATTATCGGATCTACCAGAATTAATAGTTAGAAGTATCACAAAGTTATGAATTAATCATTATGTAAATTCTTGTAACAATTGACTTCAAACCTTCAGTATTGAAGTTTAGCAATGACATGTTTCTAAAAAAAGTTTTCTTGAAAGCAGCTAAAAGTAATTAAACGATTTGTGCAACAATTTTCTTCTCTGAACTTATCCTTCTAATGCTTTTAATTGTAGTACTTTATGTATGTAATTGAGATAATGTAATTAAGATAATGCTTTACACATATTTTAAAACATCTTATTTATTTCAAAATATCATATTTGTATTCGAAGTTGTGTTTAAAGCTAGTATTTTACTTTTACCAGTATTTTGAAAATAATCTTATTAAGTGAGTCAATCTAAAAGTTGTCTTTCTAATCCACATTAAAATTACATAATTTTTTATTCAGAGCTCCCTGGCTGAGTTGATGATAAAAAGAAGAGAACATGAAGGTATCGCAGTTTCTAGCTGATCAAGAATAGGCGTACCCTGACCAGCATGGGAAGGCGNCGGACTACCAAATTTATCATAGAATGGCCGCCCTTCGAGTACACAGTACTCACAACTATAATAGGTAGGAGCAAACTGAATAGATGTAAAGTGGAGGGGATAGGGTTTGTGCAAATTTTACTGTGTTTTTCATGTAAAACTAACTACAAACAAAAAATTATAATGTAAAGATAGTTACTTCAGAGGTGTACGCATTTTTAGTACTGCAGTGTACTGTCTCTGGGCTGTAAAGTAAACGCAAGACGGATGTCACAGCCGACATAGGATCCATCTTTCGCATAAAAAACCAATGTAATATTCTGATCAAAGAAAACTATTATGTGAATTATCAAAATTTTTAAAATCAAATGCTTTTATCCTCCTCGGATACTAAAGGAACACTGGATGCATCTATTCTTGTTTACAAACACCGCCCAGAGAGAACTGGTTTTAATATGTACGCAGAGAATACGCAACTGCAATTAACTTTCCTTGCTTTATTATCTTGACTACAACGAAGTTAACCCTGTCTGTACCAACATGTTCCCATTCCTATTTTGATATCTCAGTCAAATTCGTCAAAAATAGCGTAAAATACATTATTACTCAAAATATATATGCCAACAATAAAGTATATAATAGCAAATAGAAAAAATCTTTGTTTAAAATGTGAAAATTGGTTCCAAAGATTCAGTGACGTATTAGGACTGGTCAGGAACAACAGAATTAGTAAACATGTCCAGTTTTATCCTGTCATTGTTAGTTTGATACGAAGTCAAACATTATAGAAATCCAACGTATAGAAACATTTTTATATTTTTGAGAAATTAAACGTTTTTGTAAAACATTGTAGTTTATCATTATCATTATCATAATTTCTATTTTTTTAACATACCCTAGACATTAAAAGAGCAAAATAGTTTAATATGTACATTTGTACTGCTCTCAATTGTGTTTAAGGTCGCCCAGATTTTATTATGTACTGACAACATAAATGAATGAATATATGGTTATAAATAAAATTGCATGTTACTATTTAAAAAAATATTTTATAAAAATGCTATCTACAGTTTTATTTTTAGAAAAAAAAAATTTCTTAAAAGTATAAAAAAAGCTCTCCAGTAATGTGAATATGATTTCATAAAATTCCGTTTTACCATTTAAATAAAAGGATTTTATGAAAATTATATCTACTTAATTTAAACTGATTATTTAATTTCTCAAAATTATAAAAAATGTTCTCCCGGAAATTACGCCTTGTTACTATACCTAGCGATTTCTTTACGTTGTATTTCTATAATGTTTGACTTCGTTTGATACAACTTGCAGTCCTAAAACTTTACAGTAAAATGTGTATACAAACCCTATCTCTCCCACCTTTTGTATAATTTGGTAGAACTTTTTATTTTTCAAACCTAACCCACTTTCCTACAGAGGGGAGGGGATTTATGGACAAAAGATAAAGAAAATTAAAGAATTTACCAATTTTGAAAATTAAAGAATTTACCAATTTTGAAAATTACAGCCAAATATTTTTATTAAACGGACAAACGTATAAGTGGTGTGGTACTTCATTTTTGGAGTGCCATATCTGATTCACAACTGTACCCTTTGAATCTTCGTTCAATTATTATGTCAAAGAAAGATATCGCCATTTTTCTATCAAGAATTGTGATTAATTCACACAATTTCCTTCATTACGTTTATTTAGCAGAAATCTCCACAATTGAAAATAGTAAATTTTCAGCTAAAAAAACAAGAATTTTTCGTTCATCCTTTGATTTAATAAAGACCTACAAGTATACCGTTTGAAATTTTCGAATTTGGAATGTGACTCTTGAAAATATTTAGTTACGCTGTACATTCCCTTTAAGTGAAAAGAAGGTGTCAAATCTTTCCCTTGGAAATTTCCCCTTATGATAATTTAAGGACTGCAGTAATGAATTATATTGACGCACGAAGCCTAGGGGTGTCAGAAATGATATCTTTACATATTTTCAAAACGTCGTAAAAGTCTAAGTTTAATTTAATTTATACTCCTTGTTTACTATAAAACGTACTGCAGTATACTCCTTGTTTACTATAAAACGTACTGCAGTAAACTCCTTGTTTACTATAAAACGTACTGCAGTTCTGAGAAAAATATAAACAATCAGTATGATGAATTTAAAAGGAACGTTCCTGGTGAACCTTCCCTGGTTCAAGTATTTGCATTTTAATCGCTAACAGTCCTTTTAATTTGTATTTCATTACACGCATATTATTATTAAGACTGAAACAAGAGGCTTCAATTACTGTATGTTTTTGTGTGATCAGGTTTATTACTATTAATTGTTGTCATAGTGTTGGGGGGGGGCAA